CGGTTACACAATAATTATTCACTACGCAACAGGATGGACATAATAATAAAAAAAAACAAAAAAACAACAAGAAAAATAATAGCCAGGTCATCGGCTTTCAAACATATCCGGAAGAAGTATCTTACAAAAAAATTTCACATGCATGGTCACGAAGGAACCGTTGAGAGTTTAACGTTCATCGGCATGCATTTTGACAAGCCGACGACGATGACGACGCGTCATTCATAACTTTGACAGATACTTGATTGCAATTTTTCTGATAGATACTACCCCAACTCATTCTTACATCTTATTTCCTTTTCTTTTATATTTATAATTTTGTTTAGTTCCTTCCTTTTTCTTAACCCCTTCTTCTTCTTCTTCTTCTTCTTCTTCTTCTTCTTCTTCTTCTTCTTCTTCTTCTTCTTCTTCTTCTTCTTNTTCTTCTTCTTCTTCTTCTTCTTCTTCTTCTTCTTCTTCTTCTTCTTCTTAAAATGGTACGAAGCAAAGAGACACGGAAGAAGATTCGCGCTGGAATTCGACGAAAGCGGCTTTTAAATGCGGCGAGATAATTAACGTCGACCCAGAGACGCGGTGCCATCTTTATTCCTGTCGCGCGCCACTCTATTCCTAACCTCTAAGGTCAATTCGTTTTAGCAAGCAAAGTCGCGAGATAATTTATGCTCAGGCGACTGTATATCGGCTTATGAGTGTTTCGCTTCGGTGTCTTCTTTTTCTCTTTTTTTTTTTTTTATTCTTTCTATCTTTATCTTTATCTTCTTCCCTATTTCGTTACAAGACTTTAGTAGTAACACAACGATACGCTATTTCTCATATGGTGTAACCAACAAGCACCGTCATTTTTCTGACTCTCGTGTAACAGCTGTTATATTCTTGAAGAAGAAGAAGAAGAAGAAGAAGAAGAAGAAAAAAAAGCGAAATAAATGAAATGAACGAATGAGAAGGCACGCGTACACACTCAAAAAGATAATTATTGCCAGGGAATTTTGTCTCGTTTGCCTTTTAACGCCTCTGTTTGACTTTGTTCTTACCTTGATATACGATGCTTGCCAATATTCAACTTTGATTGACAATTTGTAATCGAAAGAAAAGAAAAGAATAAGAATTTTTACCAAGGTAGTATATCGTAGGATGTAATAGTGTATACACATGTACGTATGTAACTCTTCGTATTCTTTTCTTTTCTTTTCTATTTTTTTTCTTTTCTTTTCTTTTCTTTTCTTTGACTACTCTTTTTCTCGTTTCACGGCGTGGACAGGACACCGTGTCGAAGTGTAAAATATCGTAACGACGTGTTAAAATGAACGAACCGAGACGTCGTACGTCGTTGGATGAGAATACTCGAAGAACAAGTATCTTTCTTTATTTATTTCTTTCTTTCTTTCTTTCTTTCTTTCTTTCTTTCTTCGACGATTCATTCTCCATGGTTTTGTTTCTTTTAAAATTATCTTAATCGTTGCTATTAGATTTCTTAAAGAATACATTAACAAAGTTGATCAATTTAATAATATCTTAAATTATTTGATATTACAAGACCATTCTTGACAAAAAAAAAAATATAAACGTAAAAAGATTTTTTATATGTTTAAGAAATAAACCATTTGGATAAAATTCTATTTGAACATAAAAAAAAAAAAGAGAAAAAAAACGGAGGAGGTATAAGTTCTCGTCAAAGTTTTCTAGTACTTTTTAGTGTGTATACGTGAGTAATAGATGATGGTTAGAACAAACCTTTAGAACTATGACGACGACGACACTTTTGAAAAAACAAACGAACAAAGTCCATAAACACGAACTATTCAAACGGAAATTATTGCTGACAATATTTTCCTTTTGACGTTGGGACCAATGTGATAGACCATGGATGGAAAATACTCGAGTTTGAGGAACGCGACTAGAAATATAGATAGTCAAGACAGGACGTTTTATCGTTCGGTTTTGAAGCTTCATCGTTGAAGAAAAAGAAGAAGGAGAAATAGTAGAAGAAAAAAAAAAAGAACAGTCAAAGGAATATAACAACTGAACGACGAACGGTTTTCAAACAATGGGGGGGGGCTTTACTCTTTGACGATGAGACTAGGCAAAGTTTTGCATTCCAGTTACGATATTTGTCGTACGTGCCTCCGACATGCTACCGCGCTCGTAAAACTCTCCTCCCGTTGTTTTAGATTACCGAACGATCTTACGGAGGAAAACGCGACAGAAGAAGATATTTCTGAAATATTTTTGTTTCACCTTTCAAAGTTTTCAAACTGACTAATGTTAATCTTAGAAAATTATTTTTAATAAATATCTAGATGATTTGTTTCTTTTTTTTTTTTTTTTTGTTAAATTTATTTTTATTTAAAATAAACATTTAATTAGATTTTCTTTCGTCGAGGCTTGAAACTTTTCATCGTCACCCAAATAGCAATCTGAAACTGTTTTGAAAAATTATTATATTTATATGTAACAAAATATAAAATATTCTTCATGTAAGACTTGTTAAGATAAAGCAATAAAATTGTTAATCAATATTAAACAATTTTTTGTAATTGTATTTGTATTTTTATTTAAAATGCAAATTTAATTAGATTTTCTTTCATCGAGGTTCGAACATTTTCATCGTCACCCAAATAGCTATCTGAAACTGTTATAAAAAATTATTATATTTATATATAACAAAATAAAAAATATTCTTAATGTAAAACTTGCTCAGAAAAAGCAATAAAATTGTAAATCAATATTATACAATTTTTTGTAATAAATAATTAAAAATTAGAGAAAGAAAAAGAGAGATCATAATTTAAGGAAAATTAAAATTCCGGTAATAATTTTCAAGTAATATTCGACGTGTTATATTACAAAAAAAATATAAAAAAAACTCTATGTTTTTTACTTATGATGTTTATCATTTAATAGAATTCTTATGAATAGTCGTAAATAATTCTAGTACGAAAGGATTATTAAGTCATTCTGTAATGACTTAATAATGTCGTAGAAAAGGACTTTACGAGAATGACGAGTAGTGTAGAAAATTAATAGTTCGAAAGGTGTCACTATATAATCTCATAAAAATATTCTATATGAAAATGTATAAACGATTCTAGCGCGGAAAGATTTGTATCGTAGAACGATTCTAATCACTGGTCGAAATAGTTCTCTCGAATAGTTTATCGATTGGATCATAGTAGCATCTTAATTAAACTCGTCGTGTGTTTTACGATCGGACGATGACCTATACATTTTATTTCTTATAAGATCGTCTGTGCTTCTGGTTTCACGAATAATTTATATATATA